AAGTTGGCTTTTCCAGCAAGCCGGCCTGGCCTGAACAAAACAAATCAAAGTATTGATTATTGTTCATTTTAATTTGAATTCTTTTTTTAAAAAAAAAATGTATTGTCAATTTTAATTGGGTTTGGGATATTCCATTTAATTTTTTAAAAAAACTTTTATATCATGTGTTTCTTTTAATTGTTGTACGCCGCCCTGAGTCCTTCGGAGATGGGCAGCGTATAAATCTAATAAATCTCAAATCTCTCAATCTTTCCAATGAGAAAAAAATGTTTAGAACTTGGAAGGTTGACATATCAGTATTCTGGTGCCATCTGCTGTCTAAACATGGAAACTGCATTTAGCAATAGCAATAGCAGTTAGACTTATATACCGCTTCATAGGGCTTTCAGCCCTCTCTAAGCGGTTTACAGAGTCAGCATATTGCCCCCAACAACAATCCGGCTCCTCATTTTACCCACCTCGGAAGGATGGAAGGCTGAGTCAACCTTGAGACGGTGAGATTTGAACAGCCGAACTGCAGAACTGTAGTCAGCTGAAGTAGCCTGCAGTGCTGCATTTAACCACTGCGCCACCTCGGCTCTTCAGATGCCTCTGAAGTTGGCTAAAATGTTTGTTATTTGCCATAACAAAGGAATAACAGTCCCCAAACCACATTTTTCTTCCTGTGAGTTTTGAGTTTTTTCCTATTCATTACTGCGAAAAACTGGCAAAATAGTTTCTCATTATTTTGAAGCAAGGAGTGCTTAGAAACTGCAGCATAAGCCCTGGAATAAGAGAAAAGTGCCTTCTGGGCTGAACTGGAAGTAACTCTTCACAGTATTGCGTGAATACAAAATGCTACTACCATCATGTATCTACTCCTGTTTTAGGGGATAAATGCAGTGGTGGGATTCAAATAAACTAACAACCAGTTCTCTGCCCTAATGATTTCTTCCAACAACCAGTTCACCAAACTGCTCAGAAAGTTAACAACCGGTTTTCCCGAAGTGGTACGAACTGGCTGAATCTCTTTTTTTCTCTCTTTTCTCTCACAGTCACAAAACCTGCATGGTGTCCATTGCTAAGCATTGCTCATGTTCAACTTGTAGCCATGCTCACCCATTGCCCCCAGCGCATTAAAGCTAAACCAACATTAAGGCTAACTTTAGAGAGGGAGAGTCCGCTAAGATCATCCAATGAGCTTCATAACTAAACAGGGAATCTAGACTTGGATTGATCATGCGTATCTGCTTTTCTCTATGTTTTTTTTTTAGTTACCACTAAAATACACCTCTGTGTCAGAGATGGGTTCCTACCGGTTCGGCTGAATAGGTAGTAACTTGGCCTGCCACACCCTTGAACCGGTTCTCTCAGTGGCACCGTAGGCACCGCCATCTTGTTTTTTGCTTCTGCGCATGCACAGAAGTATTTTTTGGTACTGCGCAGGGGCACGTCCCTGAGCAAACCGGCAGTAGCAGCAGCCGAAACCCACCCTGGGGGGGTCTGTGTATGTGTGTGTGTGTGTGTGCGTAACACTGCTGTTGCTTTCTGTTTTAACTTACTCTTTGTATTAGTATATCGTCTATACTCCCTGAGGTAGAAATACTGAAGGGTAGAATTTCACTTAAGCAAAGAAACTGCTCAGTCACAGCAGTGGACCTGACACTATATTGAACTCCTTACCCTGATGGCAATCCCGTCGAAACAGTTCCACCAGAAAACATCTCAGCTCCCTCTCTCTAATTTTAACTATGGAATAAAAATACCTTGCCCCTTACTATCCGAGGCTAATGAATCCAGATGCATTCTAGCTATGAGCTCTTGTGAGGGATGGAGCCTCCCTGCTGAGGAAGGAAACTCTTCTGCATACAAATTATCTCTCTGGGATACAAGAAGCCCAGACACCCAGCTAGAACAATGAAGGAAGCAAGAGAAAGATCTATAGTAAGTAGTGCCTTGTTAATAGAGTTAAACTTCTCTGTGGCTTCTTGTTCTTGTGCATCTCCTATGTGGATTAGTATAATCTATCAAATAGATACGAAGGAGCATTTCTGCTTAACCTGGCAGGCACTGAAACAACAGTGCTTTTGAGAAGTGTGAAAATATTTCGGACCTCAGTGGCAGACAATACCAACAGGAGTACTGATTTACCACCAGTTTATCAAGTACTTAGAATGCAAGGGCTGGGCAGCACAAGGAAACAACAGACAATGAGTTAATAGTCAGCTCTCAACACTAAGGTGACCAGACGTCCCGCTTTTGGCGGGACAGTCACAATTTGCAATAATTTGTCCCGTGTCCCGCAGCATGTTCAAAAAGTCCCGATTTTCCAAAAGAAAGAAAACAATTTTAAAAAGGACGCCGTTAAAAAAAGTTTGTATTTCTCTGAAGTGTCGTTCCCAATGTGGCCTTTANTGAACCTGCGCAATAAACATTTCCTTCTCTGAAGAGCTGGCTCGTGTGTTCCGTCTTTTCTACAACAATTAAATCTTCCTTTTGCCTCTGTGCTTGCAAGGCTATGGATGTCTTCTTCAACGCTGAGCTTTTGCAGACATCTGTTCCAATTGGCTTTGAGATATAATGCTTGTCCAATTTTTACAGGTATTTATGCAGTCTTAATCTACAGAACTACTTTGGCTCCTCTGGATTATTACATTTTTTTTATCCAGACGTACCACAATACAGAGAGGCAGAGAGATAAGGGAGCTGGCTTTTTTTTCAAATGGTCTTTATTATGTGCAGATATACTTTGTAATCCATTTGTCACATCTTATGCAGCTCTGGCTGCGCAGAGCTTGAGAATGGTCAGTTTGAGGCTCAAGCCCATCTTAATCTCATTAAAGATGTTTTCTGGTTCTCCTCTGCTTCTTTGATGGTAATCTGTTCTTTCTCTCTCTTTCTTTTGTGCAATAGCACTGCTGAGGCTGTCTCCAAATAGCCTTGTGACAGAGGTACCAGGAGGTGGAGGCATAATGAACATAAGAAGTAGGTTCTCAGAGGCAGGGGGCTTAGAATCCATTACTGACTAATAGGTCAGTCATTAGAGCCATGTAGTGTAGTGGTTAAAATGCTGGCTTAGAAACCAGGAGACTCTGAGTTCCAGTCCTGTTTTAGGCATGAAAGCCAGTTGGATGACTTTGGGCCAATCACTCTCTCTCAGTTCTGCTCAGCTCACAGAGAGGTTGTGGGAAAAACAGGAGGAAGAAGGAATATTATGCATGTTCACTGCCTTGAGCTACCTATAAAGTAATAAAGATAGGGTAAAAATCTAATAAAGAAATAGGTAATAAATAAACTGACATCTAATATTATTCCTATGCTGTAAAATGAATAAAATGAACCTTGATTAGGATACAACCCTTCCATTAAAGCTGGTATTTATCCAAGTTGGTTAAAACTGCTTTCATGAACTGATGAAAGAAATGTCCTTCTGGGTTCAGCTCCAAGGGGGAAAAAAGACACTGGAGACATGGAGGCTGTTTGGAAAGATGGTTTATTGGTGGACAGNAAGGGGAAGGGGAAACATTTGTAAAATCTATTAAAACCCTTTAATAAAAAAACAGCATATAATAATATAAAATATGTAATGGCTATGAAAACAACTGAGCTTGTTGATCAGAAAGTTCGGCAATTTGGCAGTTCGAATCCCTAGTGCCGCATAATGGAGTGAGCTCCTGTTTGTTGTCCCAGCTTCTGCCAACCTAGCAGTTCGAAAGCATGTAAAAATGTAAGTAGAAAAATAGGAACCACCTTTGGTGGGAAGGTAACAACATTCCGTGCGCCTTCGGCGTTTAGTCATGCTGGCCACATGACCACGGAGATGTCTTTGGACAGCGCTGGCTCTTCAACTTTGAAATGGAGATGACTAACCAACTAACTAACAAACATATTTCTGCTTCTCTTTAAGGAAAGAACAACAGCCAGAATCATCTCCAAGGTCTGTATATTTTACTGAAGTCCATCCTTTATGCCTTCCCACTTCACTCTCTCTTTATGTCTGTGTTCCCGTCCTCTTTACGTCACACGTGTGATGCATCCTAACAACAAGGACCTGAGAGCCATTCAAAGAAACGTTGTAAATGTTCAACCCGCTCACATCCCGTGCTATGAAACCATGTCCACAGGGGCGTAGTACAATTCACCGTGGCCCTCTAACCACTTTCAACTCACGTCTGCCAACTCACAGCTGCCATGATCCTGCAGGATAACCCCACACGGGCAACTCATCACGAGGACCCCCGGGCGGCCAGAAGGGCAGAACCGGTGGGTGAACACGTGAGCAGAGTGCTGAGTACATTGGGGCAGGTGGTGGAGAGGTGGCAGTGGCTGGGGACCTCCCATTTTCTAACAATGCACCGTTGTTGCCACTGCTGTGCTGGGTGCAGAGCTGCCGCCAATCAGCAGTGGGGTGCGTGTGGAAATGGGAAGATCCCATACGATGCCATCCTGCCACTCGCTCCAATGCGCTCTGCTCACCCGCTCCCTTGCCTGCCCGCCTGGCTCTTCCTCCAGCTGCCTACAGCGAGTTGTCCCCACGGCAAGTTGGCTTTGTGGAGTTGTGTCCCGCCGTGACTTGGCGGTGATGAGTGGACAGAGGCGAGTTGGTGGTGGTGAGCTGGCCATGGCGAGTTGTCCCATTCTAGTGTCCGCATGCCTTGTAGGGACATTGATCCTCCTTTTCTGCCTTTCCCGTGACAATTTTAGCAGGTGGGAGTTGTAGAGCAGGCGCTGCAGCAGCCACCTAGATTTACCACTGAGATCTGGCACTGTCTTATCAAAAAATGGAAAAGAACATGGAGAATCCATATCTTGCAAGAAAGCTGGGATAACGAGTCTCCATTCCCTAAATTGAGAACTCAAAGCAGGCTTCCCCAGTTGTGGTATTCCAGATACAGTATGTTGGGCTGAGCCGTATCAGTCTTCAGCTCATCATCATGGTGACTGAAGTGCAATGGGAGTTGTAGTCCTCTCCACTGGGAGAACACCAGGCTGGGAAAGGCGATTCCAAAACGACAACGAAGCGGTGATCATTTCCCATAATCCTCTCTTCCCTCACCTGTATCTCAGCCTTTCTTTTGGCCCCAACAGCAGTGAAAGAAAGGATGTTCATGTAAAGCACCAACATTTGTCACACATCTGTCCTGCTTTTGAGCAAAACAACAACAACAACCCCAAAACCTTTCTTGAAAGCCAGAGAAGTTTATCTTGCTAACTTTGTTTATAGCTCTCCGTAGTTCCCTGGACTATCCGCCTTCCGTATTGGATGATGATTTGTGGACTGCTGAAGATCAGGCTGCAGGTTTAGTTCAGACTAAAGCCTGAAATATCTGTGGGATGCAACTTTGCTGATGGAACTAATCCTAGTTCCAGCGGTGCTTTCGTTTGAACCCCATGGTAGCGTGCGGCGGGGCCGCAGCTGTTCAACCATTTCAAATGTAGGCCGAACAAAATGGCGGACGTTAGGTCTCTAGCAAGGGGACTGCCTGGGCATTCACTAGGACAGTGAGTGGAATGAAGGGGTTCACCGAGAAAAGGGCGAACGACAAAACCGCGCCCGACTAAACCGCAGTGACAAAACCGCGAGTTCTAAAGCGCTCCGACGAATGAGCGCTGAATCGCGCCGACAACAGTGCGGTGACAGAAGCGTGCTCTAAAACTAACCCTAACCCTAACCCTAACCCTAACCCTAACCCTAACCCTANGGTGCTCATCTCCATTTCAAAACCGAAGAGCCAGCACTGTCTGAAGATGTCTCCATGGTCATGTGGCTGCATGACTAAACACCAAAGGCGCATTAAATAAATTAGACAAGAAAGCCCAGGGTAAAAAAAACTTCTTTGCTTGACATTCAAAGGGAACACATTAAATACATGGGATGCAAAAATCCAACAGAGGGAAAATTAAAAACAGGAACCCTTTTCCTGCAGTTTTGAAGGTTCAGATGCATTGGGAAGAGAACTGAGGGGATGAACTTGAAGGACTAGAAAGCTGTGGGATGAGACTCTATTGAAAAAGGTTGTTGCATCACCAGTTTCCTGATTCTTTTCACTTGATATCTTTTTGGGCCTAGTTTTGAGATATTATCTGCTTTGAACTTTCTGCTTTTTTTTTCTCTGCCCACCATCTTTTCACACAAGTTTTTCTATAGAAAGAGAACAACGTGCACACACACATATTAGATTTCTCCTTACCATGTGGTATTTTCCCCAGATTTTTCTGGCCATTCTTATTTTAAATACATGGCTAGGACCCCCAGGATTAGCACGTTCAGTAACTAACATAAGATCAGATGTGCTGGTTTTCAGATCAAAGGCCTATTTCAGCCAACCTGATCCTTCCAATAATTTTGGACATTAACTCCTGACAAATACAGTCACATAGCTAATAGCGAAGTGCTACAGAATCAGTGGTGGGATTCAGCTGGTTCAGACGAACCTGTTGTTAAATTGCTGGCTGGCCCTGCCCCCTTCCTGCCCCACCCCTTCCAGGAATCTCCACATACTCCATTTTGGCTCCCAAGTAATATTTTGGGGTCTAGCGAACTTTCTAAGGAAGGATGCAGTGAATTCTAGTGTTTCATGAGTTTAGAGGATGGGGGGGGGGGAATTCCTACATACAGTAGGAGCTGGATTTGGTGATGAACATAAAATATTTCATTTGAAGAAAATTCAGGGGGGAAATAGGCATAGGTCGAGCCTACCTTAAACACATCCAGATTCAACTGTTTTCCTCTGAATACCTTTAATAGGTGTTAGATCGTGTAAAGGAGGCACACAAAGGCTTCAGTAACAACAGCTCTTTATTGCAAGTCAAGTAATCATCCGGCTGAGGAAGGGATCTGTCAGACCTTTTGACCAATGGGATTAAACATTTGTTCCCACCGGAACAGAGGACCTTGGTGGAAACCTCTGTCAGTGGGGGACAATATCTAACAATAGGCCCAATCAAGATCCAATTTGAATGTTAGATTTGTAGCTGACCCAATTAAGTTCAAATTTATGATTTACTTGGCAGCATTCTTTTTAAACTGACTTGAGGGTTGATTTGATGAAAGTTTTGACTATAGATTACAATGAAGTATAAAAATGCCTGCAACTGCTTTATTTTTGAAACAACAGGATGGAAACAATTCAGTAGAACCTTTAAAGGGCTCTGCAACATTTTAGGCAGAGAATTTCAAGGATTTCATGGCAATAAATTTTAGAAATATTTCCCATTTACTTGTTCTAAAGCAGAATGATGAAGGGGGAGCGGGGGAGAAAACAAATTTAAATTGTCCAGTAAACAACTCCTAGTTCAGCTTAAAAATAAATATGATCGAAAACTGTTCCGAAAACTAACTAAAAATGGAAGAATCCACCATGTTTCGTTGAACTTCCTTGTCAGATTTGGCAGGTTTATTAATATAGTTCCTTGGTTAAGCTGGGTTCTTCTGGAATTGTGTTGCTTGTGCAACATTTTCAACAAAAAAGTTGAAAAGTGTGCATGCAGAATATTACTCTTGTGTACATAATAAACTAGTATATGAACTACATCATGTTATACCTGATAGTAGATAATAGCAGGTAATAGAAGAGTGAGCACACTGTCTCAGACTTGCTCACATAGGCATCACCAACAAACTAAGATGAAGTTATCATGACACATCCAGTCATATCAGGAGGCAGGTTCCAGCCTGATGTACTTGTGCCCAAAATCGGATGGGAGTTTATAAGGCACAAGATTTGCATTAGGATATGATGATGAGTTCTGTCATTCTCCCCCCCCAAAAAAAGTCCTGTCAATTAAACTAACCCACTTAGTATAAAGTGTAAAACAGATCTGCACATGATGCAGAAAATGACTAAGGATTTCAGTGAGATGGCATTTGTTTTTCATTTGGGGGTGCAGAGGAATGGAAGGACTGAAGGACTGCAGACAGCATGCAGAGATTAACAGGGACTTTATTGAAGGTCAGACAACTAATCTGAAAATGAATGGAACGTAAGCATAAGAAGTTACGTTCTTGGCAAAGTTAGAGGTTACAAGAAAGAGCCAAGCAGATTAGGAAAAAGAACAGTAAAATATATCTGAATCTCTTTTTCTTTCTTTCATTCTTTCTCAGTGAGCAAACTGATTTGCTCAATGAACCTAAAAGGTTCTAGGAGAAGACAGAGGCACAGAGAATGGAGCAGCTATTCCTCACCATGCAATCCGATAGGCAGGATTTTCAAGGATAATATTTATTGGCCAACTAATCACACTGGTATAAAAATAGCTTGTTACTTTAATCACTGCATTCTTTCCCTTCCAGCCAGAAGTGGGATTCAGCCAGTTTGGGCATGGTTTGGGCAAACTGATTATTAATTTTTTGTGCAGTTTGGAGAACTGGCTAATCGTACCAGTGACTGCACCTCAGCCAGCCTCACCCCTCCCAGTCACTTCTTATCTCGCCTGGCCCACCTTGGCCATGGCATAGCAGGTGCTGCTCTCTGGCTCCCTCACTCGCTAGCCTCAACCATGTAGCCCCTGTGACCCAGCCTACTTGCCTGCCTTTGCCCCGGCTTCCCAGTTCCCAGCTCCCTACCGAGCCTTCCTTGGCCATTCTTCGCTGTCTCCCATGCGGCCCAGCTGCCTGCCTGGTGAGCCTTCCTTCATCTCTTTGCCAGCACATATGGCCTGCTGTTGCTGCCTCTTTGTCATTCACGCTGGCAAAGAGGCTGTGGGTGCAGGCCATTCTCTCTGGCAAAGAGGCAGCGGTGCTGGTGGCAGACCAGTGTCTCAGGGCGGAGTTGTGCCCATCTACATCAACAAAGGTCGGAAGTAGCTGTCTGTTGTTTCCTGCTGCAAAAATATTTTTAAAGACCCTGATGGTTGGGCCGTCAGACCCAGCAAGAGATGAGGCATCGGAGAATCATCATTGCTCTTGCTGCACAAAGGTTAAGTATAAGGCTCCAGCCATTGCCACCGCCGCTTTGACTTGCTTGCGCCGCCCCACCTTGACATGAAGGACATTGAGCTGACGCCACCCACTCAGTCATTAGGAAGAACCAGTTGTTAAATTAGTTGGATCCCACCACGGCTTCCAGCTTTGTCCATTTATAAAAAGAGAGCTGCAAAATTATTTGACGCAGCAGAACCAGAAAGTCCACTAGAGTTTTGTCCTTCCAACCCCAAGTAACCGCCCAGTCCCCCTCAGTCTCTTCATGTAAAATTAGTTTCTGGTTCTCCCTTCTTTTCTGACCTTCTTTCCATCCTTTACTTTTAGTTTCTTTGAATCCCAGCATAGGAACCAAGTGGAGCTGGAGCAAATCCGGAATACAGAACTATTAACTTCCTATGATTCGAAAAGTACATTTTTATTTATATTGCTTAAATTGCATTTGGGGTTGGTTTTTTTTTCCAACCCAAAAGCATATTCATCTGGTTTAAATTCAGCTTGTCATTCCAACCACAAAATCCTTTTCACATGTAACCCACCAGCTATTGGCATGATATCTGTGCATGTGATCAATTTTTCCAAATGAACAACATACATTTGGATCTATTAAATTGATCTCTTTTTATTTTCAGCCCATTTCTCTAACCTATATTCCAATTCCATCAAATTCCAATTTTATCTACTCCTGATATGCAAGATACAAGATGTAGATATATACCATCTAGTGGCTTGAACATTCAAATGCAGCTGTTTGAAATATTGAACAAATAGCAATTTGACCACAATTCTGCAAACACAGAGAGAAAAAAAGGAAGAGAAAAATGAGTGTTCCTATTTGCATATGGTGAATAATTGCTGTATTGAAGCTATTTGTTTTCATTCATCTATATGACCATTAGCAAATATAGTCTTGTTATTCAGTATGTCCAATATGGCATAACAAGCACAGATGAAAGATGAAATTGCATATTGGTGAACTGGCAAGGGAAAACATACCTTTTTCTGCTAAATCTTTCCACCTGTCTTTGTTTGCCTGTATGTTCCGGAATAGGGTGTCCTTAAAGCTTCTTAAATCCACCATTGCCAAAGCGTTTTCTGAGCAGGTCCCACCAACACATGCAGCATTTTTTACACTTAACTTTTTGTTAGCATCACTGCTGGTACTTCCTGTACTATTTTCACTACAAAGACAGGGAAAAGTTAGATTAGATTAAGATTAAGATTAAGATTTAGTTTATTTGTATGCCGCCCTTCTCCGGGAGGGACTCAGGGCGGCGAACAACTCAAAAGGGAAAAAGGGGATACAAACAAAAAGTTAAGTGTAAAAAATGCTGCATGTGTTGGTGGGACCTGCTCAGAAAACGCTTTGGCAATGGTGGATTTAAGAAGCTTTAAGGACANACATGCTTTCAAACTGCTAGGTTGGCAGAAGCTGGGACAAGTAATGGGAGCTCACGCCATTACACGGCGCTAGGGATTTGAATCACTGAACTGCTGACCTTCTGATTAACAAGCTCAGCATCTTAGCCACTGAGCCATCACATCCCCAGTTACAACTTACAACAGTTCATTTAGCGACAAAAATGACTTATGACCATTTTTCACACTTATGATCGTTGCAGCATCCCCATGGTCACACGATTTACATTCAGATGCTTGACAACTGATTCACATTTATGACGGTTGTAGTGTCCTGGAGTCACGTGATCCTCTTTTGTGACTTGACAAGCAAAGTCCATTCACTTTAACAACCATGTTACGAATTTAAGAACTGCAGTGATTCTCTTAACTGTGGTGAGAAAAGTTGCAAAACGGGGCAAAACTCTCTTAGCAAATTTATCACTCAATGATATAAGTCTGTCCTCAATTGCAGTCATAAGTTGAGGACTGCCCGTATTGTACATCAGCTCATCTGTGGCCCTCTGAATTTGCTGCATCTCGGATCCCATAATTTCAACATGCCTAGGGGAGGGGGGGGAAACCAAAGGTGAAATCCAAAACTCAGGTTGGAGAAAAAAAAAGGGGGGGGAAGCATTTTGGCTGTAAGGGTTAACGAACTTTGCGTTTGCTGTGACTCCCGCTTAAAATCAATAAAAGGCGCTGGAGCCCTTTGAGGGTTAAAAGCTGTCCAAGGCCAACATATTCTCTTTCTCTCTCTCTCTCTCTCTCTCTCTCTCCCCATGCAATACATGCATGGCAACCTTTTGTCCTTTAAAACAGAGCAGGAAGAGTCACCTGGCTCTGGTACTAGCATCTTCGCAGCAAAGAGGAACTAAGCGCCTTTCTCCCCCCCCCCTCCTCCTGTTTGAAGGGGGGGGAGGGAGACTTTACAGCTTAGAATGGTAACTATGGAGACCCACTTCCTTTTCTCTAGTAGCCACTCTGGCTGTACCGCCTCTCTGGTTTCGGCGGGTCTTCCAGCCCCGCCCCCACCCAGCCTGCTACCTAGAACGCCGCGGAGCTGTAGAGCTTCCAATGTTGCGACTCTTCGGCCGGGGTGAGTTCGGGCCCTGCTTCTTTGGAACGGGGGGGGAGGGGAGGGGGGAGGAGGGAGAAGGGGTGAATCCTAAGGTTGATCCTCCCCGCCAAAGATGGGGTTGACTTGCTGGGGGAGGAGGGAGAAGGGGAGGGGGGAAAGCTCCTCGATGCGGAGCACGCGCTCCTGCGCTTCTTCCGCGTGGCTCCTTCAAGAGCGGGCAATGCCTTATCCCGCTAAGGAAAGCTTTGCACCGGCAGTGAGTCAGAGGGGGCCCTCGTTGGGGAAGGAGTGAGCGGAGAGGGCTTTGGATTTTCGGCCTGGGGTTTTGGGGGAGTTTTTTTTTAAAGAGAACCTCTTTAAAAAAATATTTTTGCAAGCATTTTTTTTAAAATCCTGTCTTGCAGTTTGGTGAATGAAGCTACGAAGAGGAGGGAGGACGCTTCCCCCCTTCTCCGACCTGCTGCCTTTTTGTGTGGTGTGTGTCTGTGTGTTTTGTAAGGAGGCTGAGAAAGGAGGAGGAGGAAACGGCGGCGATGTTGGAAGCGTAGCCCTCGGCTTTTGTTCGGGTAAGAGTTTTAAGGATCCGCGGGGATCGCACCGTGAATGAGAGGCGAAGGGCGTTGTTTGAAATGTAACTGTTTCTTTGCCTGTGGAATCCGGAGTGCATAGCCTAAGTAGTGTGAAATGCACAAGGAGCAAAAGCGCTGGGGGAGTTTTGATTTGATTTGATTCCATTCTCAAGTTTTTGCATTCCGGGAGCTTTGAGGTCCACGATTCCCTCGGGCTCTGACCTGACGGTCTCGCAACCGGACGGGCGTGCTTTATTGTTTGAAAACGCCGATAAGCCACCTCCCCCACCCCTTTTCTTCCTTTAAGGAAGCCGAAGTATGTTGGGGCCTCGGCGCCTTTGCTGTGGCTGTGGGAAAACTTTTGTTTTAAGTGCTGTTTGGTGGAGGGGAGGGCACGTGTCGATTGTTTGCGATAGGAGTATTAAAAAAAAACGCCATCTGTGGCCCAGAGAGAAATGGCCCGTTTGGAGAACGTTGTGGGCAAAGCGGTGGTCGATGGCTGGCTAGCAAAAAAAAAAAAATAGGCAGCTTGAAAAGACAAGGTGATTGTGATTTTATTGCGTTACTTATACCTTCGTGGGACAAAGGAGGACTGATTGGGGGTAAAATTGAGCAAGTGACGTATGATTTCATTGCCTTGAAATTATGCTGTGTAATTTTACCTCTTTTTACCCCATTATTAGAATGTCAGGAAAGGCCAGTTTCCCCCTCCTCCAATTGTAATTATGATACAGCTGCTCTTTTCAGACAACATTAATGTATTTGCTCAGGATCTGGTGTGGTGGAGGACAAGGGGAAATGGGAGAAGCCTAGTTAAGCTTAACATTATTAACCTTTCGGAATAATTGTTGAGTGTGATCTAGTTGGGTGTGTATGTATGTATTATGTATACATCCACACACACTTATATGTATGTATGTATATATATGTGTTTGTGTGTGTGTATATATATATATATATCCATATATCCATATAAGTGGCTACAAAGATATAAATATGTGTGTGTGTACACATATAGTATACGTATATGTGTACATATATACACATACATACTATGTGTGTATATCTGGATATATATGTATATGTATACACACACACATATACACACATATACATATATATATCCATAGATATACACACATAGTATATATGTGTATATATGTACACATATATATGTGTACACACACACACACACATCTTTGTTGCCACTTTACTGAAGATGTATAAGTAAAATTTAAGATTTCTCCTTTCTCCCCTATTGCCAAGTGAATATGTTGAAAGTACACACTTATGACAACTTAGTTCGGTCAAAATAGTAATCTTATTTGATGGAATACACCCCAATCTTATCATTGCAAATAAAAGGACTGGAAAGTGTGTGTATATCCATGAATCATCTGGGTCTCGGTGGGAAGCCTAGTGAGTACTCTCCAGTTCCCGATCTATGTCCTCCTCCTTCCATTGATTATGTCCCTGGCAGTGCTGTTAGAAGGGGGAGTCCCCCAATGTGCCAATTTTCATTCACGATTGAGAAATACAGCACCTGCTAAAATTCACTCTTCCATTTCAATATTAAAAGCATCAAAAATTATTTGTATCTTGTTATATCTGAATCTGCTAGCACTGTGGGCTGGAACAGATCCACTACCTGCATGAATGCAGATGGAAAGAGTTCCAAATCCATGTCATTACCAAAATCAGGATCCTCCCTTGGAGGTGTGTAGAAAGAAACTTGTCAGGCAGATAGGAACAGAGGTTTTTCGACCTCCGCAACTTCAAGGTGTGTGGACATCAGCTTCCAGAATTCCCCAGGCAGCTCAGAATTCTTGGAATTGAAGGCCCCAGATCTTAAAATTGCTGAGGTAGAAAAACACTGATGTGGGAGGAATAAACTGCTTTTAAAAAACAACAACAAAAGGATTGTCCTTGGGGTATTCAAGGAGCTTGCTATGAGATGAGATAGACTAGATGTAGCCTTTCTCCTCTTTCTTGCTCTTTTAGAACTTCAGTGACTCCAGCAGGGGATTGCCAGGATGGCCATGGGCATGCAGGAACAATATGAACCTGTGGCTGAAATCGGTATTGGAGCTTATGGTACTGTCTTCAAGGCCCGGGACTTGCAGAGTGGCAAATTTGTGGCTCTCAAGAATGTACGAGTGCAGAACAGTGAGAATGGACTCCCTCTGTCAACGGTCCGAGAGGTGGCCCTGCTGAAACGTTTGGAGCACCTTGACCACCCCAACATCGTGCGGTGAGAGCCTCATCTGTGACTACAAGCCTTCCAAGGGTGGGGTTTAGGGGTTTGCAGCTGGCGCAGGACTGTGGACCTGGAACTGCAGCCTTTGAGAGTTAACTGCATAAAGATATGGCTCAAATTGCACTTTTTGTATTTTTGCAGAGATAATAGTAATTGTTTTGCAAATACAAATAGTACAAATATATTACTATGGCATAAGTTTTTGTGGAGTTCATCTGATGAAGAATAATCTTCAACTCATATACAGAGAGAGTGTGCCATCAAGTCAACATGAATAGAATGGAATAATTCTTTATTGGCCAAGCGTGATTCAACACACAAGGAATTTATGCAAATATACACACACACACACACCTAGAATCTGTGTGTCTAATTGGGTTTAAATGGCACAATACAGTCATAAATCCCAGTCTTTGGACAGTTCAGTTAATGTTTCCATGTATGCAAAAGAACAGAAGTTTATGTTAACTCAATCATTTAAGTAAATTAATACTAACAAGGGGACCGGAAACTATTATCCCTACACAGACTCTGAACTGATTTTCTAGATAAAGTGTAATTCACCGGAAAGCTTTTCTTCAATTGTCTTTTGTTCTACATGTGTGAGATTATAGAGTTGAGTCTTGGAGATGAAGACAGGACCAGACTTGGTTCCTATCAAGGGCTGAATGGAAGGAGTATGTGAAGGATTCAGTGCTGTAAATTTATTCAGCAGTCTACTTTATTGCTGCTTGGATTTAGTTTGTAATGTTTGAGAACTAAGAAATGAGGCTGTCTTCAGTTAGAGCAATTTTCCAAATTCAGTGCCTCTTTCAAGTGAATTGGATTAGACCTGGAAACAGGTTGACTAGATGGGATTGTAATTGGTAGAACTAAACTTTTAACATTCTTTGCTCAGTGTGGCCTTTGTACACAGACAAAAAAATGTTCCTGGTTGGGGAAAGCTGATTTGAAGAGTGGGATCCCATAGTCTTAAGAAACAGGGGAAGGAAAATCTATGTGTGACTAAGCTGTAGTGTGATAAGTATGGGTTGGCCTTTTAGCCGTCTATCTAGAGCACAATGCTGCTGTTCTTCCTAGCTCGGTTAGGATAATTGCAATCTGAAAGAGGACTGAGCATATTGATAACTGCCATAACTGCTTGTGGAGAAAGTAGTAGCCCTCTTTAGGTGTATGCTGTAGTTAGCACTAGGAATATGAGAGTTTCGATGGTAGCCAATTGAGGCCTGGCTTGTTAAACTGATTTGTTGAATAAATCACAATTTGCCTAGGTTTATAAATTATGTCAAACTTTAAACTAGGGTTTACAAGCCACTGGATCTTGGAACCTAAACTGAAACAATCAGATTATGACTGTACAGCAGGTGATGTAAATTTGAGAGAGCTTTTTTAGAATAATTTGTTTGTGAGAGCTATTTTAGAATATTGTCTCTGATTATAGTTCTTGACTTATTTGGTCTTCTCGATTCTTTCTTTCATGCTCCACTAACAATGGACACTTTCATCTGCCTTTGCTGTGTGGAGCAGGCCAATTAAGGACTTGGGCTATAATTTGGTTAGCTCCTTCACTGAAAGTGCAGCCTAGCCTTTACAGTGCAGTGCCTGGGCAACAGAAAGAGATAGGTCATATTGGGGTTACAGATCTAATGTATGTGGAGAGCCAGATTAAAGAAGACTGCTGATTATAAAGGATTACCCTTAGCAAATAAGATCACACATTGGGTCTAGGAGAATCTGGTGGGCTCAGAGACTTTTCCCCCCTACTTGGCTCTCTGTTATTGTGTTGACAAAGGCAGAGCGGAGGCCTTGGCTCTATTGATAATTTACAACGTGGTCAGTATTTGTCTTAAGGATGACTCACAGCAGAAACTGGGTGAACAGAAAGAGTTAGAATGGGAAATAAACATGGGATGGGAGTGAAGAGATGGGGGAAGGGGTATAACAATATACAATTTTTATATCTGGAGACGGGAATAGAAATATCTTGGTAGGCTTGCGAGACAAAGAAAAAAACAGACGACATGGACCCTTAAGAGCCCAATAGATTAAATCCTTTGTTATTTCTTGCAAGCTGTGAGGTTTCTAGCCAGTCTCATTATTCAGGACATTCGATGTGCCTGGATGTGATTCAGGATCAGTGAAATTCTATTCAAGGATCCTTTTGATTTAAGATGTTCTCTCAATTTCACCGCCAGTCTCCCATCTTCCTTGGCAGTTGTGGAACATTTGCTGAGTGTCTCTTCTTTCATTCCTCTTTAGGCTAATGGATGTTTGCACCACTACACGGACTGAACGAGAAACCAAAGTGACTCTGGTTTTTGAGCATGTAGATCAGGACCTGAAAGCCTATTTGGAAAAAACACCACCTCCTGGTTTACCCTCAGAAGTAATAAAGGTAAATCAACCTTAGATTGATGTCCAGTACACTGTTTTTGAGGCTGACCTCCAAGTTGGTAAGAAATGCAAGGAATTCTAAGCAGAGATGCCGATGTCACATGTTCTTCCACCTGTCACCTCCAGGACATGATGCGTCAATTCTTGAGTGGCTTGGATTTCTTACATTCAAATTGCATTGTCCATCGTGACCTTAAACCAGAGAATATCCTGGTGACCAGCGCTGGTCAAATCAAGCTGGCTGACTTTGGACTGGCCCGTATCTACAGCTGCCAGATGGCCCTGACACCACTGGTGAGTGCTGTCCAGATCTTATGAGAAAGAAAAAAGTCTGTTCCTGCTAACACAGTTAAGTTGGGAGATTCATGACGATGGGAATATACTAGCTAATTCTATCCCAATGTTTTAGACTTCCAGCTACTAGAATTCCAAGCTCTTACGTTATAATACGGGTTCCCCAGTTCCCGGGCTGTGGACCACCACTGGTACACGGACTGCCAGGAACTGGGCTGTATGAGCAAGCGAAGGCCTATCCACACATGCGTGGGATCCAGGTAGCGTGGGAAACCATGCCCTCCTGATCCCAGAAAGACTGCCCTCCATAGAACCTGTCCCTGGTGCCCAAAAGGTTGGGGTCTGCTAGGTTATAACACCTGGAGACTAGCAGGTGGCTACTTCTACCTTTAGAGGACTTGCAACTAATAGGGAGAGGACTGAGCAACTGCTCTGTTGCTGTTTTTTGTTTTAACTGTTGATAGTGGGAAAAGGGGTATTCCATAACCTCTGTGGTCTTAGTAGATGTAATGGAAAGTAGCCTTGTTCCTCTAATATGTAGCTGCAGATCTATATTCAATATTAACAATATCATTTCCTAACCAAAATTAGATGCTTAGATGTCCTGGTAGGAATGGAGCAGTGGGTAGTTCGGATTGAGTAGGAATTGTGACGGATGGAAGCCCAGGAAATGGGAAACATCAGGATGTTTTCTTATGGAACTTAGCCTCATCTCCAGCATGGGACGTGAGTCTCCCTCTGTGGCTCTTCTCCATCTTCATGCTTCTGGGGTTCTCCTCTCATCCAGGTGGTCACCCTCTGGTACCGTGCTCCAGAAGTGCTGCTTCAGTCAACCTATGCTACTCCTGTGGACTTATGGAGTGTGGGATGTATCTTTGCAGAGATGTTCCGAAGGAAGTAAGTGGTTGAAGGGTTGTTTCCATTTGGGAAAAAATATCTTTGAGGGTTGTGGCAGAACTTCAGTTAGTTAATTTCAGGGGCTTCGACCTTTCCAGCTCTCCATGCACCCCAAAGCAATCTTTACTCTGCGGGGCGGTGGGGCTCCCTGCTCTGCTGCTGGCCTTTGGGGAAGTTTGTTGGAGTTTGCTCAGGCTCTGGCTCCCCTCTTGGGCTAAGGATAGAGGCTCAGCCTTCTCCCCTTGGATTTGAATTCTCATGCAAGGGTCGGGGTTCCCTTTTGGGATGGGGACCAGAGACTTTCTGTGAACTTTTCTGAGCTGTGGGGGGGACAGTGGCAGCAGCTGCTTTCCCCATTGCCTCTTTGCTCCCTGCTCTCCACAAACATTGGATCGGGGGACTCCCTATCGCTGCCCCACGAAGAAGCATTGGCTAATTTCAGATTGTTTCAACGCAATTGTGTAGGTCTCCATCATGCCTGCAATTTCATGCAGCTCTCCCCCACCCCCCCAATTTTGAGTCTTGCATTTTCTATTTTTTTTAAAAAAAACATTTCATGAGATGGAGTTTCCTCAGAATACCATTCTAGGTGTTTATAGTATTGAGTCTGGGTGGGAATGAGTTGTGTCTGTGTGTGCGCGTGCTTGTGTAAGCCTTTGGTGAGGGTGTTGCATTTGCAGAGGTGAAATACGCTGTGCTTCCTTTTTTCACAGCCTTAAGGACGGAATGTGATCATTTGAAATAAGAGGGAAGAATTGATACAGAAAGGGATAAAGAATGGTTGGGAAAGAGGCCAGTAGCACAGCAAGGGCAGACCCAGGCATGCTCTGTCTTCCAAGTAGACTCATGGTCTGCCACCTTTGCTGTCCTTGTGTCAGATTAGAGTTGGTGAATATACTTTTTTTTGCTAGCACATGACCACAGTCAGCAGCTGGGAAACAATAGATTAAGGCTTGGCCTGCCAGAATTCTGTCTTGCTTATCTTTCAAGCTAAGGATTGATAGGGAGGAGCCAGCAACCTGCTCTCTTGCTCTCCTTAGACTCCCCTTTCAAAAGAAGATAGGATTAGGGAGACTACAAGAGCCTAAGTTGCACCATGTGCTGTTTCGAAATTGTCTTGCATGTAACTTAATTTTGCATATTAGGTAACTTACAAAAAGAAATCACAATTCACACAGATTCACAGGCTTAATCACTTCACAGGCTTGCACTGTGGAGGTTTAAAAACTTCTGGCTGAAATGAGGGGGAAACATATAAGTTTACAAAAACCCCAGTTTAAATATGCAGGGTTTCGCGAGTTTTTATCACCATTGTTAAGTGACTTAAAGTACTGCTGCCTTCATTTGCATAAGGCATAGGTTCCCAACCTGGGATGTGAAAACTTGGGTTTAGAACTGTGATGGCGAACGTATGGCATGTGTGCCACCTGAGGGCACATGGAGCCCTCTCGGTGGACACACGAGCCATCGCCCAGCTCAGCTCCACTGTACATACCTGCGTGCCTCCTGCCGGCCAGCTGATTTTTGGGTCTTCCGCGTATGCGGGAGATGCGCAGGGTGGTGGTGGGGTTTCACATGCATGCAGGGG